ACAACACATACGCAATCCACAAACACACACACACAAGCTATATACAAGGCTTCTCGCCTACCCCGCCGACACAATGGCTTGAGCCAGAACGGCTATGGACTCCTCCTCCTCCTCCTTTTTCCAGCCGAGTTCGTTTTTTACTTCGCATTTTGCGTGCCTCCTCATCCTTCTCGTCCTCGTCCTCCTCCTGCTCTTCCTCCTCCTCCTCCTCCTCCTCCCTTTCCCTCCTCCCTCGCCCTCCTCCCTCCTCCCTCCTCCCTCCTGCCGTCCTCCCTCCTTGCCGCACTGTCGCCTGAGACGTCCTCAGAATTTACTCAAGCATTGCATTCTCGCTCGAGATTGGTGAAAACGTAATCATGCATATCAGCATGTGGATCACTATCGATATGTATTGAAGATCTTCCACACACCTTATATTATCGAGATAGATGAGCGAGTGGGCTCCCAGAGTCCGGACCCCCGGACTCCCAGAGTCCAAGACTCTCAAACATCGCCCGAAGAGCTTCCCAGCGCCACCCCTGGCATATCAACCGAGCGTCGCCCCAGCACCTTCAGACACCGCCCACCAAATTCTCGCCATGGCCACAGACCACTTGGAAACCCTCGTGAAATGCTAAACAGTTCGGAAACGAAGCGTTTGGCAGTTCACTCCGGTTTCGGACACGTCTCTGGCGCCCTCGGTCCCTGCGCTGGTCACTCCAGAGCCTGCCCAAGATTCCCCCAAGACAGTCTATTAAGCATCCAGGAAAAACACGGTGCAGCCCAAGAGAGCCCTAAGACAGCCTGAGAGCGCGGGAAAGAGTGCGAGGGGGACTGCGAGAAGTATGAGGAAGAGAGAGAGCAGGATAACTGCTGAGCGCGCCGTACCCGTTTTAGCACAAAGTTGACCAATCAAGGAAAGAAGGAAGAGAGCAAGCAAAGAACTGAGGAATAGAGATGGAAAGCTAGGGAATGAGCGAAGTGAGAAGAGAGGAGATGGAAGTGAGAGGAGAAAACATGGCGCACCGTAGCCATTTTGGCTGAGCATTACCCAAGCTGGGAAATAATGGAGGGGGAAGCGGAAAAAAAGGGAGGAGCGCAGACGAGAGGGAGAGTGAAGCAGGAGAAACGGATCCACCGGGTAGCGGCGCCTAGCTCACTCGTTCAAGTACCCCTCGTCCTCCTCCTCCCCTAGTCCTCCTCCTCCTCCTCCTCCTCCGCCTCCTGCTCCTCCTCCCTCTCCTCCTCATACTACTATCCCACGTGGGCACGATCACGCTGGAAACGAGCGCCGCCTCACGCTGACAACAAGCGCCGCTTGCAAGAAGTATTCTTTGGCAAATCTGATTTTTGGATTCACGCAGAGGATTTGTTAACTCTGCTCGGACGCGTCCCCAGCGCACTCGGACCCTGCGCCCAACACCCCAGGCCCTTCCCAAGATCATCCGAAGAGAGCCCACGAGACCCGCGGAAGCCCCAAGACACCGCAAGAGAGCCCCAAAGCCTCGTAGGACGGCCCCAGGAGTCCCACGAGAGTGCCATCGGCCCAGTAGCGGGAATCCGGCCGCTCCCGCCCTGCGGGGTGGGCCGTGCGAGACCAGTCTGTCAAAATGTCTGGCAGGATTCGCCTGGGCTTGGTCAAAAACCTCCCTGAAGTCCCTCCCAGGGTCCCAAGGGGCTCCACTCTTCCTGCAACTTGCGGCAAGTTCCGGCAAGTTCCGGGTTTCAAGAGCCCACAGACGACCCCAAAGATCCCCAAGACGGCCCCCAAAGCCGTCCAACACAGCTCCCAGTCGCCGACGGGCCGCTCCAAGACGCCCAATATGGCATCGAGATGGTCCACAAAGCCCCGAAAACGCCCCAAGAGGGCTTCAAGAGGCGTCCCACGAAGGCCCCAAGAAGCAAAAGTCGCCACGTTCCCTTGGGAAAACGTACATGTTTAGCATGTGCGACTTTTCAGACTTCAGCGCGTCCACGACGGCCCAAGAGGCTCCCAAGATCGCCCCAAGATGGCCACAGAGGCCCCGAAGAGGATCCCAAGACGGCCCAAGAGGGCCCCAAGACAGCCCAAGAGGCGTCCAAGACGGCCCCGAGAAAGACCCGAGAGGCAGCACTCGAGATTACATTTCCAGATTTCGCCCCCCAAAGACCTCCGCGATCGCCAGCAGCCCTCCAAGAAGCCCCCAAGAGGCCCAACAGAGACCCGAAGAATCCCCAAAACGGCGCCCCAAAGGCCCCAAAGAGGCTCCAAAACTGCCTCCAAGAGGCTACCGACCAGCTGCGTGAAACTCCCAGGGAGTGGCCGGTGATGCGCCGCCGGCGTTCTCATTACAATCCCAAATGTCAAGCTTCCCGCTCCGACATTACCTCAGAGGCCCCCCAGAAGCCCCCCAGGCGCCGCGAAGAGAACCCAAAAGAGCCTCAAGCGCCCTCAAGATATCCCTATAAGGCCCCCCAGACCACGCCGAAAACCCTCGTGAAATGCCGAACGCCTCGTCGGCGAAGCGTTTGGCATTTCTCCCCGACGCCCCCGAGTCTGGATTCCAGATTCAGGATTGCGGGTTCCAAATTGCAAGTTCTGGATTCTGGATTCCAGATTCCAGATTCCCCATCCCGCATCCGCATTCTGGAGTCCGGGCTCTTGGAATCGCATCGGACGGGACATGGATGAGCACCCCACCCAAACCCCTAAGACCATAAACCGAACACCCGCCTCCCCAACCCCAACAGCCGAACCCTAACACCTTATAACACAAACAGGCGAATCCTAACACCCTAACAGTAACAAGATAAAGCAGAAGTCTTGAATCCTGACACCCGAACCCCAACACCCTGACCCCAACACCCTAATCCGAACGCCAAGACGCTCACACCCTGACCCTAACACCTTAACCCAGACACCCTGACCCTGACACTGTAATCCTCGCCCTGAACCACAACACCCTCACGCCCAAACCCTGACCCCTAACCCTAACCCCCGCGACCCTAAAACCCCAACCCTTGCATCCTGACCCGATCAACCGAACCCTAACGCTCAACACTAACCCTAGCATGCCAACTCAAGCACCCTGGCCCTAACACTCTAACCCAAAGGCGTAACCCAACCACATGAACCCTTACAACCTTGACCCTAGAACCCTCACCCCGACACTAACAGCCGAACACTAACACACGGGCCCCACCACCCTAGTCCGTACACACTAGCCCCGACACCCTAACCCTAACACCCTAACGCTAACACCTTACCCGAAGAACCTGACCTCCTAAGCCTTGCCCCGAACCCCTAGCCCTGACACTCTCACACAAACTCCCCAACCCAAACCCTCAAACCCTAACCCTATCCCGAACGCCGTAACCCTGACATCCTAATCCTGTCAACACCCAAACCCTAACACCGTAACCCTATCATCCTAACCCTCACTCTCTGACCCTAACAAACTTAACATACAAATCGTAACTCTCACCCGCAAGCCCCAACACCCTAACCCTGACACCCTAACCCTAACAAGCACACTAAGCCTGACCCCCTAACCCTCGGCGGAATCCCAACTCACTGACCCTAACACCCTAACCAAACCCGAACACCCTAATCCTGACCTAACCCGAACCCCCCAACCCTAACCCTAACGCACTAACACTAACCCTAGCCCTAGCCGTAAAACCGAACACCAACACCCAAAAGAAACACAACCTGACTCTAACACCCTAACCCTAACACATTACACCAACACCCTAACCCGGTATACCCTTTACCCTAACACCCTAACCCTTTACACCCTAACCCTTTCACCCTAGCCCTAACCCTAACCCTACGTAAGACACCAACCCGAACACCCGAACCCCAAACGGAACACCCTAATCTTAACCCTAGCCACCTAACCGAACCACGAACCCGAGCCATACCCTAATACGTTAGTAACGCCCCAAGCCTAACCCGCACACCCGAACCGTAAGACACGAACCTGAGCACTCATTTCCTAACACCCTAACCCTAGCCGCGTAACACTAACCTTACCTCTCTAACCCTACCACAACACTCTTAACCCGAACACCCTATTCACCCGAACACCTAACAACCTACCCTTGACACCCAAACTCTTGGAATCCAAATTTCAAATCCGGATTCCCAATTTCTGCCTCCCGCGTTGTGGGTCGCCAGATTCCGCGTCCCAGATTAAAGATTCCGAATTGCGGCCCCCGGTGCTCTGATTCCGAGATCCGAATTGGCGAGAATCGATTCCCCCAGCTCCTATCCCCGGATTCTGGATTCCAAATTCCAGATTCAGTTGCAGATGCTAGTCCGGATTCCGGATTCCGGATTCTGGATTCCAGGATTCCACGAGTCCGGATTCCGGATTCCGGATTTTGCATTCTGGATTCCGGATTCCGGATTCCGGATTCCGAATTCCGAATTCCGGATTCCCAGATTCCGGATGATTCCCGATTCCCGGATTCCGGATTCCCGATTCCAAATTCCGAATTCCGGATTCCGGATTCCCAGATTCCGCATTCCCGAATACAAGGATTCCCGATTCCCGGATTCCGGATTCCAGATTCCGGATTCCGGATTCCGAATTCCAAACTCCGGATTCCGGATTCACGTTAGAGCCTGTTTTTTTTAAGCCCCGGGGAGGAGGAGAAAAAGGAGGCAAACAAAAAAGAACAGGAGAAAGAGAAGCAAAAGAGGAAGGGGAAGGGAACGGGGAGGAAGAGAGAGAGAGAGAGAGAGACGACGACAGCGGCGTCGCCGCCGCCGCCATCGACGACGAGGATGCCGCCGACGCCCGGCGCCGCCGCCCGCCGCGGACGAACAGCGGCAGCCCGCTGCAGCGGAGAGGGGCGAGGCGGACGAGGGGGAGAAGACGGCGGACGGGGCCGGAGGCCGGAGGCCGCGAGGCAAGAGGGGCGGAAAGGGGGGCGGAAGGGGATGGGGCAGGCGGGCGGCAGCACCCGGCGTCGGCAGCGGGCGCTGGCCCCCCGGGGACGACTCCGCCGGCGCGCTGGTGCACAAGCGGGCCCACGTGCGCGCGCCGCCTGCGTGGGGCAGCCCGGCGGCGCGGGCACCTCCTGGCGCTGCGGACACAGCGCGCTCTCGTCGTCGTTGCCGCCCCCCGTCCGAACGGGGGGGGGGCGGCGCTGACGACGAACGGGCAGGGAGGAAGAGGGATGGAGGAAGCACCCTTCCTCCAGCCCTCCTCCAGCTCCCTTTTCCCCTTCCTCCTCCTCGTTCTCCTCCTCCTCCTCTTCCTCCTCCTCCTCTGTTGGCGTGGCCGTGTCTTGATCTGTGCCAAGTGTGCGGGTTTCCCTCATGGGGTCGAGAGAGCTCTGACAGTTCCGTGTCGTGGGCCGTCCCAGGTCTCCTCGACCCGTGACAAGCAGCTCCGAAGATTGGCCAAAGCTGCGAGAGACCTCCACCCGTCCACAGGCGAAGCCTTGCAGGACGGCCCCGCGCCGCTCGGCCCTTCTCAGCCAGCCGTCGAGGTCCCTCCGATTGGTGGGGGCCGTTTCCCCCGGGGGGGTGGAGGCTCGGGTGGAGCGGGCGGGTGGGACTTCGGATGATTCTGACTAACTCGTTTTGTTTTAGGCCTCGGCGTCGTCGTCGGTGATTGTCCGTCGTCGTCGCCGTGCTGCCTCGCTGCCGCCGCTGGCGGCCGCTTACCACCGCATGATGAACGGCCAGCTCGCTTCAGGCGCGCCGCCCTTCCGTGCTTCTCTCTAGCCTGAGGGCGTCCGTTTCTGCGGAAGCTTTCCAGTCGGCGCCCACCTCTTCCTCCTCTGCGTCCGCCTGCTATTCATGCGTTTCTTACGACTATTGGTCCTCCTCCTCCTCCTCCTCCTCCTCCTCCTCCTCCTCCTCCTCCTCCTCCCCGTCGTCTTATTTCCACTTTCCACTCCTTTGGAAGCGGCCCTCGAGGGGGGAAGCAGGAGGGAGGAAGAGGAGGAGGGAGAGGAGGGAGAGGACGGAGGAGGCAGAACGGGGAGGAGGAGGAGAAGGAGGAGGAGGAGGCGGAGGAGGAGGAGGGAGAGGGCAATGGCTGATCCTTCCCAGGGTGGTTATACACCTTCCAAACGAATCTGGTTCACGCCTTCCTGGCCCGACCCTCCGCCAGACGACGCCGCGCCGGCACCAAGAACAAACCCGGGGCGAGGAATCTCCCTGGATTGACGCATCATGCTGCGCCCCATTGCCAGCCCGACTCGCCGTCGACGCCGCGCCAGCGACGACGAAAAGCAGAGAATAACGAGAACAACGGTGACGACGCCGACGCCGACGACGCCGACGACGACGCCGACGCCGACGCCGACGACGACGCCGACGCCGACGCCGACGCCAACGACGACGACGACGACGACGACGACGACGACGACGACGACGACGACGACGATCGCCACGACGACGAACGATCACGGCGAAAGACGAACGACCGCACTGCACTCTCACTCGAGGTGCGGTGTCCGATTCGTCACTTCCTCGGTGCCTGACAAGGTCGCGGCTAGCGAAGCGGCCAGTCTCAGAGCACCAAATGAACCTGGAACGTCCTTTCAGCAACTGTCGATGGGAGTCCCGTGCCACACTTGCTCGGGGAAGGGATTCTCCCTTGGGAGGTATTTGGCGCCTGGCCAGCGGAGCAGCCCCGAGGGCCGCGCTGCGCCCCCGAGGAGGCAAGACCCGCAACAACGCTGACAACAAGATCGGCATGAAGATCCTGGTTCGCCCCGACCCCCACCTCGTCCATGCCCCCCCGCACCCCCCCCACCCCCGCCCCGTCCCCGCCCCCATCCCCTCCTGCTACTTCCGCGCGCCTGGTCGGCTGGATCGGCGCAGGGGCGGCGGCCGCGCGCAGGGCCTGCTCGCCAGTGGCACGTCCAGGCATCACGAGGGTGAGCAGTCCCCCCGAATGCCCTTGGCGCGTGGCTTTCTGCGCACTGGCGAGTCGCACGATCGCTGGGTACCCGACGCAGATGCCCCGGATCCGCGGCCGCTGCCCCTGTCCTCCTTGGCTGACCCCTGCGCCTCCTCGGGCAGCTCGTGAGCGCGCAGGCGATACTCTAACAGTGCTCAGGGGAGCGGCTCACCCGGAAGATCCACAAGTGACTTTCGGGATCGAGTCGGCTAATCCATCGGCGGCAAGCTTTGAGATGGTTTGCCCCCGCGCCCTGTGCACGCGCAATTGTCAGTTATGTATTGAGACCGTGTATAGGAGATCCAACTCAGGCTCCAGCTCGTCATAACTGTAGATTCTGCCATCAGCTGCTGAATATGTTGCTCCGGCGGCCCACTTTCTCAGGGCGAACAGGCGCTGCGCGTGCGGCATTGGTAGTTGCGCGCGCCCACGAGGTCACATTGGCCCGCAGGCGAACGCACATTGGCAGGTTGGTAGCCGCAGTAGGTTCCGATGGCGCGGGAAGGCTTTGTGTCAGCGCTCGGCGCGGGGGGGTCTCGTGTCCGCGCTTGCGCCCTCACTCCTCCCTCGCTCCCTGTCTGTGCTTGAGGGCTTGTTCCCACATGGCGATAGGCAGGTAAGTATCTTTGTGTCATTGCAACCTACTCCAGCTCGAGTAGCTTCCACTCTGGTACTTGCCATTTTGGCTTTCACCCGCTGTGATAATTCGTTCTCTTTGTGCGCCCTTTTTTCTGTTCCGGATCGCTCCTCGGGGCCCTCGGGCCCGTCGAGAAGGTGGGCCTTGCTGGCCCGGCCGGAGCCTCCACAGAGGAGCAGGCGCATGAGGGGGCCCCCGGGCCTGTTTGAAACACCCTGTCACGGCCCGGCCTCTGTGCCAGTGCGAATTGAGATGAACATACACAGTGTCGCCTCTTCAGCATGTCTTCGTCTTTGGGACGCGTGTCCCGCCTCATGGTGTTTCAACGAGACTGCGCGTGCGATTCCCTCGAGTGGGGCCCGACAGGCGGGCCTCACCTTCACTTGGCATCCGCGGCTCGTCAGCCCCAGCGCCGATTCCGATGCGTCGCAAACGAGACTGATGTGCTGCGAGTCAGACTTGATCTTTTTCTAAATGACTGGCTTGCCAAGGATAGAAAACTATGAAGACACGGCCTTCGTGCCCCTGAATTCGCGCACGACAGCTGCGCCTGCGGGCGAGAGGTTTCCCGTGGCCAGTTCTCCGATGAGAACGCTGAAGACGCGCGCGAATGGTGGGCCGAACTGCCTTGATAGAGTGGCGCCCTGCTCGCATTGATTGGCGTTCTCGTGATGCGCCGCGCTCTCTGCTAGGCGCTCCTGGGCGATGTGCGCCGCCGACGGGGCGAAGGGCGGGTGCCGCGGCACCCCCGTGAACCCTCTGGTTTCCGCCGCGCCGGTCGAGGTCAAACGCGCGAGGGCGACCAGCGGGCGCGCGATGGCGTTGACGTCTTCGTTGCCCGCGATGTCCTGCATGGGTCGCTGCCTCCTGGGCCCGGAAGCGGCGATGCTGCCGTCGCGCGGCGCAGCCTCCAGGCTGGCCTCTCGAGGTCCATCGGTGGCCGACCTGGACGGTCAACTGCTCATGGTTTGCTGCGCAAGCGTGCCCGCGGAGCCGACAGAGCTGCAAGAACGGCACCCGCGTCCCTCGGGGCGCAGCCTGCCCCCCCCCATGATGTTTCAGCGGGTCTTGCGGCGACCCCGACGACTGACTGAGCCCATCGCGTGGACGTGCTCCCAGGCGAGAGCAACGCATCATGACTATCCCCATGGGCGTAGCCTTGGTGGTGGCCACCTGCGGCATGACATGCTGGAGCCCATGGCAGGCATGAGATGCTGGCTGGCGGACGTCTGGCTTCTGACAGAACGAGCACACGTCGCACCGAATCCACGCATCGAGAATTTTCACGGGGGCCTGGGGGCGGTCATTTTCTTCTGCGGCGGACGCAGGCCGAGGAGTCCGACCAGGGGTTGGGATCATGGCGGCACGTGACCCCTGACAAAAGCGCTCGATGTCGAACTTACAGCCTTCGCTCGCCAGGTCGACTTTCCCCTCGAACGATGGAACGCACCTTGCATACTTCGTCGTCCATCTCATTGATCCCGTCGATGATACTCCACCTCATCCGTACCTCCCGAAGTGCGCCGTGGGAAAAGGTGAGTGCTTCCCCGGGTGGGCTGCATACTGCGGAATGCGACTTAACCAACGAGTATGCCTTTCTGAGGCTCCTGCAATAGCGTAGAACCTGGGTAGCGATCGTATTCATATGTATGCCATGTTCGTGGTCATGCACGGTGAGGGAGTGAGCCGTCTCATGCCTTGCCTCCAGTGCAACAAGAGCGGCGGGGTTGTCAAGGGCTCGATCTTCGGGGGAGGTTGAACTCCAAACAGAAGCCAGTAATCCATGGCCTTGCGAAGAGGGTATGCGTAGACATACGCGGGCGGACCTTCCAGAGCTCACTGGGACGGTACCCAAACAAATAATGTGTAGGCGATGTGAGCAGCACGTCTTCTCTGCTGCAGCTCAGGTGAGAAGCTCCGGCTCGCAGCCATCTGCGCGCCGAAATACCGGGCAGTAAGAGTCTCACTTGGAGCGACAGGGCGCCGTCACGAAGACTCTCTGCTGCCCGCGTGCGATCAACTCCCTCGAAGACGTGGACGATCTCCTGCTTCACTCCGCTTCGTCGGCATAAGAGCTTCAGAAAAACATGATCCAAACATGCATTGGCAGAAAAAGAACGCGCCGCAAAATCGCTAAGCACTTCCCCATGAAAGGGGTAACAACAGATGTTGAGCGTGTCCACCTCGTGGTCCCCAGAGAAAACGCGTTCTGCATAACATCCGCTGGTGTCGCAGCTTCGAGTTTTCAGAGTATGCTGCCACTGGTTTACGCACGGTTGAATGCCCTGCAAGAGCTGTCTAACCACCAGGGGGTCCTCCATGAAGGCCCAGCCGACCTTGAGTAGGATGACCCCGCCAAAATAAGGGAGAGGCAGGACGACCGTTTCCTCAAAATGTTGGCAGCACTGTGATGTCAGCCTTTGGCTTGGCTTCCTCAGCAGCTGCTGTCAGGGAGTCCCACTGGAAACTGCCGGAAACGTTCGACTGATCATGCGTATGTGTAGGAACTGACCGGCCTGCCTCCTTGGCACGCCACATTCACAGCATCGCTCCCTCGATCGCTGTTTTGTTTGCACTTGCCTAGCAGACTGCCATTTACCTGGGTCGGAAATTTGAAGACCAGCCCCTATATGCTGTGCCACCCCTTCCCTAGTGGATGCGACAAGTGTATCGTGCACATGTCTGCCGACGTGACCCCTACTTCACGATGGGCAGCCTTCTTGGGCCAGCTGATTCCCAGAGAACGTGCCAAGGGCTGGGGGTACTGCGGGACGGCTGACTTTCTGTAAGTCCGTCTTCCCGGGCGGCTTAAAGAAGATGTGCCTCGAGAGGTGGCAAATCAGTGCGGTAGGAGCTCGACCATAAGAAACCTTCTTCAAGAAACCCAGCCCTGAGCCCCCAGGACGTCAATTGATTTTTTGTGTGGGAGCGTCGCGCTTCCCATAGCAGAACCATCGAAACCCACCTGGAGGCACGCAGGGTGTTTCTTGGCATGGTTTTCCATTGTATGCCAACGGTCTGGCGTTCGGGATGGGCATCAGGGGCCGGAGGCATCCCCGGCAATTCGAGCCGGTGCCGACCATGGCTCTGGGGCCCTCCTGGCCCATCGGGCAGGCCCCCCCAAAAAGCCACGCTGAACAACTCCCCCAAGATCCTCATAACGGCCTGCCTGCACACTCAGATCGATGTTTCAATTGCGACGACGACGACACTGGACGACGAACGACGACGACGACGATGACGACGGCGACGACGGCGAACGACGGCGAACGACGACGGCGAATGACGAACAACGGCGAACGACGGCGGCGACGGCGACGGCGGCGAACGACGATCGACGGCGAACAGCGACGGCGAACGACAAACGACGGCGACGACGGCGAACGACGACGCGAACGACGAGCAACGAACGACGAAGGACGACGACGGTGGCGGCGACGACGGCGAACGACGAACGACGGTGACGGCGAAGGCCCGTGGCTCCTCGAGACAGACCGCCAGCGGCGCCGCGGCGGCGCCGCTCGCGGCGGGCAGGGGCTCGACGCGTGAGGGCGGGAGGCCCTCGACGGCGCACGCTGGTGGCGAGGCGCACTCCTCGCGCGGCGCGCGCGGCGCGTCGCCGTAGACCACGATGGCCTGCGAAGGGAGGCAGGCAGGCAGGTGGGTGGGTGTTCTTCCGTAGAGGGCTGTACAGTAGGGGCTCGACCACAAGAAACCTTCCAAAAGAAACCCAACCCTGAGACCCAAGGACGTCCACTGACTTCTACTGGACAAGTTCACTCTGTCCCATCCGTAGGCGTGTCGGTGGGGCGGGTCGGAGGTTCCGCCTGAGACTGCCTCACCACCTCTGGCCCTTAAGCTTGAAAATTGCAATATTTGCTCGGATGGAGGGCGGGTCGTTTTCAAAATGCGGCTCTCGTTTTAGCGCCCCGCACATGTGTCTTACAAGCTTGCAGCATAAATCAAGATGGAAGACACGTCGTTTTCAAAACGAAGCTCTCGCCTCAGCGCCGCGCTCATTCGTCCTATAAGCTTGCAGCAACTGCAGGAATGAGCCACACATCGCTTTCACAAAGGAGCTCTCGAACTTGGCGTCGCGCAGATTGGTCTCGAAAGCCTGCAGCAGCTACACGGCTGGATGGGGAGGTCAAGAAGAGGCTCTGCCTCAAAGCCGCGCACACTCGTGTCAAAGGCTCGCAACAGTTACATACAGAAGGGGCTCGACCACAAGAAACCCAACCCTGACACCCCAGGACATCCATTGATTTCTGGCGCGGGAACGTCGCGCGGTCCACGGCAGAGCCATCGAAACCCCAAAACCCCAGGGCACCCTGGAAGCACGCAGGGTGCTTCCTTGGCAGGGGTCTCCACCGCAGGAAGGCGTCCCCCCGCAGAGGATTGCATGTTGGAGCCGTCGGCCCGGGCCCTTTGGCAGAGGGTCGCAGGGCCCAGGCGGGCGACTGCGTCGACTCCGCGACGTCCACCCGAGGGGAAGGGCAGGCTCGTCCGCGCGCGGAGGGGAGGGAGCGGGGGGGGGGGGGCGGGCGGGGCGGAGGAGGAGAAGGAGGAGGGAGGAAGGAGGAAGGAAGGAGGAGGAGGGGGAGGAGGAGGAGGAGGAGGAGGAGGAGGAGGAGGAGGAGGAGGTGTGGCGCTGTGATTCGCTCAAGGATGGCGCTTTTTCCTCGATCCTGAGTCCTGGAGACCGGGCTCGTCAAAAGACAGCTCGAGGTGAAAAACTGGCCGCCGTGAAGGGGTCGGAGCTCCTGCCCCCCCCCCCCGAAAAAACGACTCTGGATGCACGGGGCGCTCGAAAAGTCTGCACGTCTGGGTCCTGAAACTCTGGGTGCCCCTGCGCCTAAGTCGGCCGTGTCCCCCTACAGGGGGATTTTGGGCGAAAAATAGAAATACTGAAAAAGTGCCCCCCGAATGGGCAAAAATAGCAACAACAAAAAAAATCGTCCCCTGACTATTTTGGAATATTCCCCCTGTAGAGGGACAGGCCCGACTGAACCCTGCGCTGACATCTCTTGGAGGACACGGTTTTGCCTCGACCAGGCGTCCGCGACGGCTCCCGGCGGCAACGGAGGCATGGCCCCCGACGGCAAGGGAAACCTCGTTGTACTTCCGCCCGCTTCCGGGGACCCCTTGGCCGGCGCTTCCGACGGGGGCGCGCGCGGCCCATACGCCGGTTCCTCGAAGATGACGAGGTCATTGCTCGGATCGGGTCGGGCGAAAAGGGGGGATAGCCAAGGGGGGAGGTGAGAATCAGCTCACGTAGCTGATTTTCCCGGCGCCTCCCGGCGCCGGAGGCGGCTATGTATGGGGGAATGGGCCCCTCGGTGGGGCCGAAACCAGCTGCATGCAGCAGAGTTCGTTGTCAAATCCAAGTCGGGCGATGTCTTTACGTCGATAGGCGCAGCGATGCGGAAACCTTTTTGCAAACGCAAACGAGCGCATCCCGAGAACAGCTTCAAAATGGCCTTGTGCTTGGGCGCGCGGGCAGCACGGCTCGAAAGAAGGCCGCCGCCGCTCCTCTGTGCATCCAGTGGCGGCACAGTGCCCCTCGGATCCGACATCATATCCTGCCGACGAGGGAAGGCTGGAAAACAAATAGCTGTGCCCATAGTCGAGCACGACGCACGCTCATCATGTTGTTGGTCATCCAATCCAATCTGAGGGCGGTGAGATACACTCGAGGCTGAGGAGATCACCGCCGTCTCGGGCACTGCCCCCAAACTAGGAGGTGCACGAACCTGATCACGCAAAGCCAAGTCATGCAGCCCACATCGGTGCAGACGAGCACGGAGACGGCCTGCCCCGAGGGCCTCTCCAGGATGAAAAAGCCGTCGGTCCGCGAGCCGAGAATCCTCGTCTGAACAGTTCTGCTCTGAGATCAAGTGGCGGCGCCGCCAGCAGATGTTGCAGGCGGCTTGGAGGGCCGACGAGCGACGACGACACAATGCGTTCAGCTCGCGGTCCTTGGCCCGCCCGCGCTCCATCGCCAAAACCTCCGACAGGTTGTCTCCCGCCGACAAGAGCTCCGAATCCCAGTGTCGCTCGCGCCGAGAATGGCGACGAAGCCCCAGCAGAGAAGCGCGAGACTCCTTGTTATGAATGGCGTCGGGCTTGCACCAGCCCCCGACGACCGCCCGTCGCCATCTGAGTCGGTCGCTGAACGAGGCGCCCAGGGCCGGCACGGCGTGGGCGTCGACCGACTCGCGAGCCCGTCTCGACGCCCACCGTGACGAACTCGCCTTCCATGAAAACGCGGCGATGTCATCCACCTCGAGGTCGCCGAACCCGAGCTCGGTCTCGAAGGAGGGCGCCAGCGACAATGACTCTGCGGCAAAGGAACTCCAGGGCCCAGGGTCCGCGTCGTCGTCCTCGACAAAGGCCTCCAACGTCCTGAAACGCCATCGCTCTTTCCACGCGATGGCCGGCAACACCCCCCCCTGGGCTGAAGCGACCCACGTGCGCAGCGTAACCCGCCTGACTGGCGTCGGAGCAACACACGGTCGTGGAGGTGTTGGGCCGAAAGTGGTGGCGGACAATGAGCACCAGCCCGGCCGCCACCTTGAGCTCGGCGGCAACGTCAGCGGGCAACTTGCCCGCGCGGCCATCGAACTCCCCCATCCACCGCCAACGCCCGTGCAAGCAACTCATGAAAGGTGGGAACAGCAGGAAGTGATTGACGACGTGGCCTATCAGCCGTCTGAGTTGGCGTTCTGATTTCTGAGGCAAACGAAGAGCCGAGTGGAGAGCGAAATACAACCACCAGGTCCTCTCAGGCTTGTGGGTGACGATCGGCCAGGCCCCGCCCGTGATGAGCAACCCAAGCTGGGTCACCACTCTCTCGGCCTGAACCTCATTTCGCCAAACGAAACCCCGCCGCCTCAACTCATCCAACAGGCTGGCAAACGCCTCGAGCGCCTCGCGGCGGTCCCAGCAGATGAGAAAAGCATTGTCGACGTAGGGGGCCAAAACGGGCAGGCCCGGCTGAAGCACTGGCACAGGCATGCGATCTCGAAGGACCCTCGCATCGATCTTGTCACGATCGAGCTCCGACAAGCGCGTCATCTCTGCGACGACCTGCGCATCTGTCAACGCGGAGTGACAGAAAAACAAAGACCACGACCACCCCATGGGAATAACCTTCACGCACACCCACAGCGTCTCGTGCCCGCCCATGTCGACCCAACAATCGAGATCGTCGTCGTACACCCGCGCGACCCCGTAGTCGGCCGCGACGATCTTGTGGGGGGGGCAGAAGTAGCCCGCCACCTCCTCGAAGTCGAACTGGAAATGCCCGTCCGTGAGGTCCGCGCCCGAGAAGTGAACGTCGAGTGGGCGACCGTGCTGCGTGTGCTCGTCCACCATGGCCTCTCCCTCTCTCAAGGACATGGCGCCGAGCACCGCCGCAGTGGCCAGCTGGCTGATGGGCGGCTCCTTGTGCAGCACATTCGCCGGCCTGCAGTCTAAGACCAAGCGCAGATGGTAGCCGTCCTTCTTGATCACTGTGAAAGCGCCCACGAAGCATCGAGCACGACGACGACAGGACAACATGCCAGCCGCGTGCAACTTGCGAGTGAGCGCCTCCATATGACGAGGCTGCCGAAGGACGGGATCTAAGTAAGGTTTGATTGGGTTGTCTCGAGCGGCGGCGCATTCATCAGCAGGCGTCCTGAAGATCCAAGAACGAGGGGCCTCCGCCATAGGCCGAGCGTCGGGGCCAACGACCGCCGCCAGAGGCTGAGGGTGAACACCTCCGTCTTTGACAACTCTGACCCTCTCCGCATCAAAGGGCCTTCGGGTAGCGTCGTCAGTCGCGAAGTCGTAGATGTCCAGACCTCGAAGAACACTCCTGAGAGCGCCCCTCCTTTCAGGTCCACAAGGGGGCGGCCCAGGGTCATCGAGCCGCTCCCTCAGCCGGGCCCCCACGGCGCGCTGCAGCGCAGTAGGGGCCGATGCGCGTCCACATCGCCTCAGACGATGTCCAGCCCGGGCCGTCGCCATCGCGTTCAGAGCGCCCACGGTCTCCGTCAGACGCCGATCGCAGGCCGCCGACCTCCTGGCCGTGAGTCCTTCACCAGGAACAGCTCGCCCCCCACGTCCAAAGGGAAGCGGGGGGGCGCCCCTCGACGACCGCGCCAGGTCGTCGCCGACGCGAGGAGAAAGGCAGCGCGGCAACATGATCACAACCGTCACCGCCTGGGGCCGTTCTCCTCGGAGGAGAGAAGGGCGGGTGGGGCGCCGCGGCCAACAGCGCGCCCCCGGGGCCGTAGGGAGGTCATCCTCCCGACGACGACGCCCCAGCGCCGCCGTCGCCTTTCTTGTCCCCGTTCTGGTTATTGTCCTTCCGCCTCTTGTGGCATGCGTCGTGCTCCTCCTCCGAGAGCCTCTCCGACTTCAAGATAATGGCCGGGGTCTTGCGGCGCTCGGCCATCTCGGCATCGAACTTGGAGGCGACCACGCTCCCGCTGGCACCGAAGGCGTGCGCCATGTAGGTCTCCAACCCATCAAAATCTGGATTCCGAAGATTTTTCTTCTCCGCCCGCTGGATCATCTGCGCGCGCCTCACGAGCATCCCAGCTGATGCTGAGTTGGGCAGGTTGATCTGATCGATCACCACCATCATG